CCTCCATCTTTAGACCTTGCCTATCTCCAGAGTACCCATAAAACCTTTCAGATGTAGTGAACCAGACTATTTCCAAATCAGTGACCGATTCAAGCATTCACACCATTCGCAGGTTCTAGATTTGATGTAATGAGTTTCAGCTCTACTTCCCATTCACCAGCCTTACTTTTAATGAAAAAAAAAATTTTTTTGGAGAGGTTTTTCCTATAGGGCATGTGCGCTCACCAGAAAGACAGAGACAGAAAGCGAGAAATCATCCCCCGGGGGGGATGGCCGCGCCACAATTCCTTCTCCTCCATTCTCCTCTTGGGATCTTGGGCATGCACGCACACACGCCCCACATGAGCTTAAGCCACCAGGACCAGGACTCTAACCACAGTCGACTACATGGGAGTCCAGGGACAGAGCCATTACACCATCTGCTGGTCTCACAAAAAATGTTTTTTAACGTATAAGGTTTGGATAAATAGATTCATATTTATGTCAGCATGTTTTGTTATTCCAGAGCAGAGAAATAAAGTGTTTCACCACAATTTACAATTTTTTTTAAAATTGTGTGTGAACTCACCAGAGAGGGAGAAAAAGAGAGAGAACAAATTCCCCTCCCCCATGGAGCATGATCACAAAGCAACCTCTTCTCCTTCATTTATTCATCCTGTTGTGATTTTGGGCGCATGCACATGCCCAGAGTATTTTTTAAGACACCAGGGCTGGGACCCAAACCATGGCTGGCCATGTGGAATCTAGCTCCCTTACCTGCTAAGCTGTAGGACCAGCCCTCATCAGCAATGCAATTCAACAGATATTGTTTACCATGCTCCTACCATGCGCCAAGCTCCTTGTCCTAGCCTTGCAAGAAATATGAAGGAGAAAAGCTAGGTCCCAGTTCATGAAGTGCCTTAAGATAGAGAAGTAGGGGGGCCAGTAGGTGGTATAGTGATTAAGGTGCTGGACTCCCACATGGCCAACCACAGTTTGAGTCCTGGACCTGGCAGCTTGAAAATCATGATGAGCACATGTGTGTGCCCAAAATCCCTGGAGAAGAATGGAGGATAAGGGACTGTGGTGTGGCTATCCCTCCTGGGGGATGGTTTTTCACTTTCCTTCTGTCTGTCTCCCCCTGGCAAGCACACACACCCTATAGGGAAAAAAGCTTAAAAAAAGAGAGAGAGAGAAATAGATAGAAGTCTATCCACATTGCTTGATCCAAAGATAAATAAAATAGAAGACAGAATATGGCAACTATTGGTTTTGTGGTAGTATTCTGTGCATCAATCTCCAGCTCTTGTTTTTGTAAGAATAATGCTTTTGTGAAGAAAGACTCTCCTGACAGCCTCAGAGGCCTTAGCTGTAGTGTCTCTGAGCCCTGCTGCAGGAAGGGGAAGAGGGGAGAAAAAGGTCAAAGTCATGTAGAGAGTCCTTGGGGGCCTTCCGCTCTGCCCATGCCTCGTGTCCCAGGAAGACCAGGCTCTGTCTCGCTCAGCATTGCAGCTGGCATGCAGGGTGACATCTGAAATGAGGGAGCCCAGGGGCTGGGGTGCCTACTGTAAACCCTGCCGAATACCCCACTCAGCTTGAGAAACAGGAGGAAGGAGTGCTCATACTAACCTTATAGAACCAGTGCAATTAAAAGACTCCTGGGAGGCCTGCTTCAGTTTGTGTCTCCCCCAGAAGTTAAGGTAAGGGGGCCTTGGCTTTGGGCTGGTCAATTCTAAAAGGCCATCTCTCACAAACAGTTTTAGAGAAAATAAATACACAGGCAGACTTGCTTGCAGAGAAACTAAAGGGACTATTTTGTGAGCTAATTTTTTAAAGTATTTTTTATTCTTAACTAAATGGATATAAACAAAGAGGGTGTCCACATCATTAATGGTATTCAGCCTGGGAAGAGGAGCCTGACAGCCACACAAGGTTCTCCGTAGTGACGAGGGCCACATCAGAAGATTCAAGTGCAAGGGGAGTTCCTAAAGGGGACAGTAGCGTTGGATCAAGCAATGTGGATAGACTTTGGGGACACAGTGACTAGCATAGCCTTGGTTACAGGAAGAGGAGCCCCCAAACATGGTCCCATGCTTCAGCAAGCCCCACCTTGGCCCTCTCCTGCCCATATCCTTCCCCACAGAGCAAGCCGTCCGTGAGTCTAGGGGAAGTGGCCCCTGTGTCTGCCCCTCCCCACAAGCCCTGGGAACCTAGAGATCCCTGTTTAGAGGAGTCCTTGGTTTACACAGCTGCTTCTGTCCTTCCATCCTCCTAAGGTACTTGCTGCTGGCAAAGGCCCTCTCAGGCCCACAGGTTGGCCAGGAGGCACTGTCTGTGAACGGGGAAAGCATGAGAGAGTGGGGGTGTTTAAATGTAGGCACGAGGCCCTGGGAAAGGCTGGATGGAGCCAAGGGTGGGGAGAACAAGAGGTGGGTTACACTCAGAACCAGGAGCTGGAAGACCAAGGCCAGTGTTCTCTGTGCCACCACATTCAGGCCCAGAACTTCATGAAGTCAGAGACTTTCTAACTTAATTCATCGTTCAAGGTCATGTGAAGGGGGATGTCCGCATAGGGCAGTGGTTAGCCCTGTGAATAGAAAGCTGGATCCCATGTGGCCAACCTCACTTCAAAACCTGGCCTGGAAACTTGAAGTATATGCTGGACACGTGCGCTTGTGCAGTTCAGTCTCATGTACTTAATCTTCTGTTGTGGTCTGATCTTCTCATTTAAATTCTGGAAGGTAACATGCAATTCCAGACTTGTTCCTACTATTAAGTTGGCCATTTTCTTAGTTGTTATTGAACTCTTATTTCTGTTTGTCTGTATTTAGCTTTCCTGGTATAGCACTCCCTTCAGAATTTCTTGGAGAGCTGGTCTGGTGTTGGTAAATTCTTTCAGGTTTTATTTATCTGAGAATGTTCTTGTCTTTTCTTCCCATAGGAAGGATAATCTTGCTGGGTACAGTATTCTTGGTTGAAATTGTTTTTCCCTTAACATTATTCGTTCCTTGCTCGCATTGTTTCTGATGAGAGGTCTGCTGTTAGCCTGATGGGATATCCTTTGTAGGTAACCTGACGTTTCTCTCTTGCCAATCTCAGTATCTTGTCTTTGTCAGTGGTTTTGGTCAATGTGGTTATAATGTGTCTTGGAGAAGATCTTCTTGGGTTGATTCTATTTGGGGTCCTTTGTATTTTGGGGAATAGGATCTTTGAATGCCTCTCTACATTTGGAAAGTTTTCTGGATTTCATGGAATATATTTTCAATGCCTTTATTAGTCTCTTCACCTTCTGGGATACCAATTATCCAGACATTTGGACATTTCATGGTATCTGGTATTTCTCGTATATTATTCTGATTTTGATGGGCTATTTTCTTAGTCTTTGTGGTGGATTTTTCTAGGTCAGTGATTCTGTCTTCTACATCTGAGATTCACTTCTTTGTACGATCTAGTCTACTTTTAATACTTTCAAGGGAGGTTTTGATTTCCTGTATTACAACCTTCATCTCTAACAGCTTCGTTTGATTCTCTTTTATGGTGTGTATTTCCGCTTTCAGATCATTCAAGAACTTTCTCATCTCCAGGAAATCGTCGACTTTTTTCTCCTCTGTATTCTGGAGTTTATTGTCTCTCTTCTCTTGCATCTCTATTAGCTTTGTCACTATAAATATTCTAAATTCTTTATCTGACATTTCCAAGAGTTCCACTGTACTGTCTGAGGATGAAGAGGAGTTACTCTTTTCCCTTGGAGGAGAGGTATTTTCTTGCTTTCTCATATTTCTTGTGCCCCTGCGGTGATTTCTGGTCATCTGATGGGTTACACCTTTCTTCCTAATTCTTGAAGTTCAATCTGAGCATTCAGAAGCATGCTGGAGGAGATGATCTGCAGTCTCTCTTCCGTTCTGTTTTTCACTCTTTGTGCATTAGATTTAGTGGGAATTGAGGAATATTCTGACCCCAGTAGTATTCAGATGTTTGGATACTGTTCACATAGACCAGTCTAGATGTTCAGTGCATAGAGGCTGAGCAGCCAAGGGATGAAGTTAAAAGAAAAGAGAAAAGAAAAAAAGGAGAGGAAAGAAGAAAAATAAATAAGAAAGAAAAAACAATTTAAAAATTTATATTTTAATTTTAAAAGGCAAAAAGTGAAAACCATGCACACCACACAAAAGTAATATTTCACAGCTGTTCAGTAGACATCTCAGAATGGGCCTGGGTTTCTGCCTCTCCTAAATGGGAGAGGGAAAGCCACAAGTCAGCAAGATAAAGGCAGGGCTTGAGAGGCCAGGGAATACTTTACCTTAAAAAAAAAAATGGCAGGGACCAGCAGGGGGCGTGGGGGGTTAGGGGCTTGGTTGGCCGACCTGGGTTCAAGTCCTAGACCTGGTGGCTTGCTTTCTCACTTCCTCTCTCTCACTCTCACCCTCTGTCTCTCTGGTCAAATTAAAAAGTCAATGAATGAATAAATAAATAAACTAAATAATTATTTTTTAAAAAGGCACAGAGAGATGGAGAGAAGGATGCAGAGGTTGCCCTACCAATCTAGAAATGGAGGGAGAAGTCTCAGAAAAAATCTTCATTTTTAGTCAGTGAAAGCAGTAGTTCACAGCTGAAGTTCAGTAGACATTTCAGAATGGGCCTGGGTTTGTGCCTCTCCTCTGGTGATCAGGATTTTCCATCTCAGAGTTTCTGAGGCTCCCTCCCTCAGGGACAGCTGCCCCTGGGAGACTGAGTGAGTGGCCCCTATATTTGGCTTACAAATTGAGATCACCTGTAAGATTTCACCTGTAAGTTCCAAACCTGAACAGAAAGGGCTCCAGAGTAGAGCTCTGAAGTCCTTTCCAGGCCTCAGTTCATGGGATTCTATAAGAGAAAAATTGCAAGGGGATCAGGGAGCAATGGGTGCAGCATAATGTGGAACACTGATGTAGGCCCCATGGATGGCAGTTATGGATGTGAGATTGTCTGCGACTTGGAAGAGCTCTGCTCTTTGCCTCTTTCCAGGAATTCACCCTCTGAGATATTTTCTCCTGGGTGTTTCAAATCCTGGCCATGGGGTCCCAGAATTGATCTCAGTTGGGTGTGTGTTCTATCATTCTGTCACCACATATGAGAGTATCTCTCGACAGAAGGAGCCACGGGCCTCCTGGATGGCTGTGAACCCTCCGGATTGCTAGGAGAGATACACTGAACTGCTGAGGGACTGGCAGAAGGCATTCACGGAGTTGCTGAGGCCCCTATGGAAGCACTACATTCAGGTGTGCATGTAGTGGGCCAGTGCTTTTCCTCACTAGCTCCCTCTGCAGCACAGAGGCTGAGTTGCATCTCTGTGGCTTTGGGCAAAGCTTGGAAAATCTGGTTGATGTAGCTCAGTGCCTGCCATCTCCCCTGTGACTCTTCTGGATTGTCTGTCTATCCCCCACCCCCCAGGAGTCCAGAGAAAGACAGAGGGAGAAAGCACCTCCCATGGGGATATGGTCATGCTACAATCCCTTTTCCTTCGTTTCTCCAGCCTACTGGGATTTCGGGCATGCACACACATGTCCAGTGTGTTTTTCAAGCTGCCAGGGCCAGGATTTGAACCTTGGTTGAGGCCAAGATTCAAACTCTGGTTGGCCATGTGGGATCTGGCCCCCTTGCCACTAGGTTACAGAGCCAGCCCTCCTTTCCCATTCTAAATGTGCCCATTCTGTGTTTCATTTTCTGATAGCAAGTGTAGTTTGCTTGCGTATGTACAACTTACCTTAACTTTCCCAGGGATATTTCTGGTTTCTGTATATCTTTCTCCTCTACAGCACTCATAATAGCCACAAAGCTTATCAATTAATCATTCCCACTATCTATAGAGTAACTCCCCAAGGCAGGTAATTCCTTTGAAATGCAGTAAATCCTCCATGAATATCTGTGCACAGGTGGAGAGTCAGTGCATGCAGGTCTGGGGAAATGATGTATTATAGGGTAGAGGGTGATTCTAGCCATGCCCCCAGTCACATCACCCCAGGGCTTGCCTCTGTCCTTGTAGAAACCCTTTCTTGGCTTGTGTGTGTGTTCCACAGTTTCACACTTACTGGAGGATGATGGGCTGTGAGTTGAGGATGGAAGCACCAAGGGATTTCTCCAATATGCGTATGATGGACAGGATTTCATTATCCTCAACAAAGACAACCTGTCCTGGGTGGCTGTGGATAATGTGGCTCATATTATCAAGCAGGCATGGGAGGCCAATCAGTATGAATTACAATATCGAAGGAATCGGCTGGAAGAAGAATGGCTACAGAGGTTCCTGGCGTATGGGAAAGATACCCTACGAGAAGAACAGAGAGCAAGTAAAGAGACGGGAGAACACCTTATTCCTGTGCCTTCAGAACATTAGTTTTAAACCTAATTCCTCCATTTCCTATTCTGAACTCTCCATTTAGTTGAGCTATTGTGACCTAAACTCCCTGCAAGAGTTTTCCTTAGTTATTTTTTTTATCAGCATCTTGACAAGATTGAGTAATGCCACTATCTTGACACAGTGGAGTACCTCCAGGAGTATCTCCGTTTGGGGTTATCCAGAGAGGCAAATCCTTCCACCGCCTGTCAATGATGAGTTGGGAAATATCTGAGGAGCTGGGGCAATTCTTACCAGTTGTTTAGTAACTAGGGGCTCTCCCAAAACAGTATGAGGAAAATCTGGACTGACAAAGAGAATGGAGGGGCCTTGTTTTACTAAGGGATTAATGATAAGATTCCTTTCAGTGAAGAGCTCTGCTAAGCCTTAAATATATGACTTAATTGGTTAACATGGTGTTACTACAGAATTTTTCGTGTCTGAGCCTGTGATTCCAGTGGAGTGAAGTCTGCACTGTGCGACAGGGTACTCATAGGCACAACTCACCTTTCCCCAGCAGTGATTGGTGGAGGGACTCTTCAGAGCTGGGACAGGCCTGTAATGGAGGGGTCTGGGCCACAGTTGTGAATATGGACTACCTGTCTAAGACAACAGGGGCCCAGCCATGGTGGAAGGTGCTGCTAAGATGCAGTGCTTTGGCCAGCACATGGGAAGCCCAGGTTCAATTCCTGGTCTGACCTAAAGACTGGGCACAGTGGCGTGTGTCTGTAATTTGATCCACTTGAGGAAGCTGAGGCATGAGGATCATCAGCTCAAGACTGGCCTGGGAAACATGGCAAGACTCCTTCCTTACAATAAGAGCCAAGTGTGGTGGTACATACTGTGGTCCCTGCTGAGAGGAAAGGCAGAAGGCTCATAGCATGGTGAGACCCTGTCCAGAAAAAAAAAAAAAAAGAGCATTGGAGTTAAATGATTAGAGTTTGAGTTTCAGCTCTCCTCCTCACTAGCCAAATAGCTATCTTAATATTTTTTGTTTGTTTTTGTTTATTTGTTTCTTCTGTGCGAGAAACACACACAATGACGGAGAGAGAGGCACCTCAGTGGGGTCTTTGCACCGTGATCTACCCCATCTCAGCTGGCCCAGACCATGGGCACATGCATGCATGCCTGGTGTGCTCAGGGAGGTCCAGGGACACCGACCCAGGACCTTCCCCACATGAGTCCTACAGTGCTAGCTGTGTAGGGTAACCGTACCACCCCCTAGACCCACTGTCTCAGTCGTAGTAGTCACAAGCAGCAAAAACCTATTTAAATTGGCTTAGGTACAAACAGGGAAGTGATTCAAATGGCAGGAATCAGGGTTGTGTGGAGATCTGAGGAATCAAAACCAGAATTTGAATCGTTTTCTCCATGAGGTGGGGATGTAGCTGCCAGCACAAAGCTCCCCATTCCAGAGCAATGGGCACCTCTCTCCCAGCTCATCTTCATCATCACGGGGGTTCTCCAGCAGCCCTGGGTTGAGTCATGTGCCACCTCTCCAACTAGTCTCTATAACAGGATAGGCTGCTGAGATTGGCCGTAGGTGACAGAGCCCTGACAAAGGCTAAGTGGCACACTCAGAATGGTTTAACTGAGGCCAGATGATGGCGTAGTGGTAAAGCACAACACTGTGCTTGGCGTTCTCTCTTTGGCAGCCAGAGGCTGTGCAAGTCAGGACCAGGAAGTGGACTCATCTGGCCCCTTTCACATCCACTTGGTCTTGGCTGTACATCCAGCACTGGGAACAGTAGGTAAACTGAGGCAGAGTTGCTGTGAATCGGGATTTGAGGGTTAATTCTCATCCTGTTGATTCTCTCTGGTGTGGGGAGCCTGGGGCCTGGGTTGTACAGGAGAAGGGCGGGAAGTTTCACTTCACTAAATTCACCAGGCAGTCTCACATGGAAAGGTTCCTGGTTCGTGCCCAGAGATCTCCCTGAGGATGCTAGGCATGCCTTTGCCAGTGATCTGGAGCTGGAGATGGCTGGCAGCATTGAGGTCCTTTAGGGGGTGCACCCTCTCCACCCGCCATGTCTCTCTCTCACTCATGAAAAAAATGAATAAATATAATTTGGGGGAAAAATTGGTTTAACTGAAGAGAGTTTAACCAAAAGATCACCTGTAGAGAGAGAACCAGGACTGAGGAAACTACTAAGGGATGGAGAAGGATCTAGAGACTTGCGACACTGCGAAGCCTGTATATCCCCTTGATTTGAAGGTGTGAGAGGCAGGAGTAATGTTTCCAGCTGGAGCTCTGGACAAAGAGCCTTCTAGACAGAGCTGTGACCATGGAGAACCATGGCCACCGGTAGGACTGGGTTGGGGAACTGAAGGCTAAAATCTGAATCCCTCTTCTCTAGCTCTGATCTTGTGCTGAGGATGCTCATCTTAGTGGTCAACCCCAACCAGAAGCCAAGGAACAGGGGAGCCCTGGAGCTGCAGTCTGATGCATGCCACCTGCGGGGGTATAGACAGGGGCCAGAAGGTTGAAACTAGACCTGGGCCCACCAGGAGAGACTAACCAGGGCACACAGTTCCCATTATAACTGGGGAAGGATTAAGTTCGGTCTTGTTTACAAAAGCACGTTAGAGTGGGATGGAGTAATTTTCCAAAATATGTTGTATGTTCTGCAGGAGAACAGATTTCTGTGATCAGGAAAATCAGAGCTCATCAATGCTGGACCAATGAAGCAATAATCTGGAGTAAAATAAGTAGGTATGAAAATGGCTCACAAATTGGCATGAAATAACATATCTGGAAGGACTTTGTAAACTGTGGGACTCTGTCCAGTGTTGTGGTCAGACTGAAGAACGTTGACATCTTAGGGTCTGGTTAACTCCGTGGCCATCTTGGCAGTGTACAGGGCCCTAGTCACGGAGGCATTTCAGGCCAAGACCAAGTGGATGTGAAAGGGGCCAGATGAGTCCACTTCCTGGTCCTGACTTGCACAGCCTCTGGCTGCCAAAGAGAGAACGCCAAGTTGCCTGACCCGCTGTACATCCAGCACTGGGAACAGTAGGTAAACTGAGGCAGAGTTGCTGTGAATCGGGATTTGAGGGTTAATTCTCATCCTGTTGATTCTCTCTGGTGTGGGGAGCCTGGGGCCTGGGTTGTACAGGAGAAGGGCGGGAAGTTTCACTTCACTAAATTCACTCCCCACACCAAGCCTCACCTCTATCTACCAAGGGTACCTTAATGGAGCTCAACTTTATGGTCAAAAATCACTCCTAGAAAAAGATCTAGGATCAATTTCTTAAAGACACTATCGAAACTCAGTTTCTCCTGGTGGTATTTATATTCATTCTAGTTAAATTGATTCATTTAAGACTGGGTCTTGCTATGTCACAATCCTTTTGCCTCTGTCTCCCTAGTCTCCGGGGTTATAGGCACACACTGCAGGTTTGGTCTTTAGGTCAAACTAGGAATTCAACGCAGGCCTTCCATGTGATCCCAGCCCATAGACCACAGCATCTTAGTGACGTGCACCACTGTGGCTGGGCCATATATTTTATTTTTAATCTTGGAAAGTCTCTTTCTTTTTTTTATTTCGAATTTCCCCAAAAGGGGAATTTTATTGATTACTTTATTCCCTCACAAATAGTCGAACTGTAATCAAATGAGGTGAACATTCGCCTCAAGATTTTGTTGTCTTCATAATAGAAAAGATGAGGCTTAGACCTGGATCACTTGACCCTTTCTCTTCTTATCTCCTCCCAGTTCCAAATGGCTTACATCTCTTGATAGCCAGCGTTCTCTTAGATCTGCAGTTGGGCTCAGCACATTCAAGCCTCAGCACAATCTTTGTAGTTCTTGCCTTTTTCCAGAAAATAGGCTTAGTCTGTCCACCATAGCCACTCTGCTTCCTGTCATAACGCTGCTGTCCCTGAGCACACAGAGAATCCTTGCCCTTTTGGTACTGTGTCACTTTATGAGGTTGGTGCTTGCCACACTCCTTACAGAAAGTCTGGCAGGTTTTAGGGACGTTCACCATGCTTGCGGGCCTGCTATCTGCACAGAAAGAGCTGGAAAGTCTTTTTCTGCTACTAATTTTTTTTCTTTTTTTTCTTTTAGTTTGCTATAGGGCACATATCCTCACTGTAGAGAGACAGAGAGATAGTGGGGGGAAAGTGAGAACTCATCCTGCGCCCCCCACCCCCAGGGCAAGGGCCATGCTGCAATCCCTTCTCTTCCTGTCTCCTCTCAGGATTTTGGGCATGCATGCACATATGCCTGGCATGCTTTTCAAGCCACCAGGTCCAGGACTCAGACTAAGCAGTGGGCCATGGGGGACCCAACTTCCCCAACCTCTGTATTACCTGCTGGCCTTCTACTAAATTAAAGGGAAAAAAAAAAGACAGGAAAGGCATTGCAGAGATAAGGGCTCATCCCTGTATCAGAGGTGACAGATAATAGTGCGGACCTGAGGAGCTGAGTCTTAGGGAGGAGCAGGACGCAGTTCTTCCAGTGCTTTTTGCCCCTTTACAGCTCTGTGACACAGTTTCAGTAGGACACATTAAGGGCAGCACCTTGTGGAAAGTTGACAGAGTAGTCACAAGGAAGCGAGGTCACAAATGGATGATTCTTTGTTGTCACCGCTGGAGGCCTTTTATGATACGGTATAGCCCCTTTGAGGGCGCAACCGTGACATGATCTCTTGTATACATCCATGTCCGATGCCAGTCATCAGGGTGTCAGCTGAGCAGACGAGGTGATTCCGGGCCGATGCTGAGCCAAGATGGCTGTGTTACTTATTTGCACGAAATGCAGAATCCAGCACAAGGAGTGCTGAGTTCTAATCTCCAATCTCTTGCTGAATTACTCTTACAAACAGTCACTTAGACATTCTGCGGCTTGGTTTTCCTCGACACATAAAGGAATTCCAAAGGTTAACAATAGACAATCCCAATACACTTTGCAAATACTCAAAGCTGCCTGTTTCTCCCTTGGAGGATGGAGCATGGCTCGCTTCGCATTCCTTGTTCCCTACCACACGGCCCTGGTAGGAAGTACACAGTGAATTAGTTTGCTGTGGATGAACCTGAGTTCTGGGTCATTCTTGGTTCAGATATTTCCTGAATGAAGAAAATCAACTAGGAAGCCCAGTTTCCTACTTCTAATATCATTCACTCAGTATATGAGATACGTCCACATGCATGCACTGCCTGATGTTTCCATTGACAACGAACCATATATATGACAGTGGCCCCATAACATTACAATGGGCAGGGCCAGCAGACGGTGTAGCGGTTTCGTTGCTGGACTCCCACATGACCCACTGCAGTTTGAATTCTGGACCCAATGGCTTGAAAATCACACCGAACACATATGCATGAATGTGTGCCCAAGATCCCAACAGGAGAATGGAGAAGAGATTGCAGCATGGCCATCCCCTCTGGGGGGTGATTTCTCACGTTCCCGCTCACTGTCTCCCTCTCTTTCTCCCCAGTGAACACATACGCCCTAAGGCAAAAACCTCTAAAAAAGAGAGGGCTCTTGTAATAGGTTATACCATATAGCCTGAGTGCGTAACAGGCTAGATCATCTAGGTCTGTGTAAACACACGAGGATGTTTGCACGATGACAAAACCACCTAATAATGCATTTCTCAGGATGTGTCTCTGTTGTTAAGCAACTGTATTTACTGTTAGCTACTTCTTCCCAGAGCCCCCATAAGTCAGAGACAATCACAGAGAAACTTTTCCAGGGATTACAACTCTCTTCTGCAGAGCTCATGGCTTTTGCCCCCCAGAAATTTCCATGATCTGGATAAGAAACGGAGAAGAAATTGGCCAAGAAATGGATCATGGAGGCATTCTTCCCAGTGGGATGGCCCCTATCAGACATGGATCTTGGTTGAGCTGGGTCCTTAGAGCAGTAACTTCACTCCTATCATGTAGAACACTGTGGCCTCCATATGGTTCTTCAGTTTCCCCAGGGTAAGGACAGACCCTGGGCTGTCTGGGGAGTGAGACTGAGAAAAGAGGGTGGGAGGAAGACATGCTATCTTCCTGGGAGGGGGAGGATGCATTCTCATCACCCAGTGTGCTTTTAGAATGGGTCATCTACAGCAGTGGTTCTCACACGTTTTGATTCCAGAGCTCCTTTATACTCTTAAAAATGATTGAGGACCCAGTTGTGGTGGCACATGCTGCTAACACGCTGTGCTCCACAGACCAGGGCCTCCTGGGAAGCCTGAGTTTGATTCTGGTCCAACCTGAGGACTGGGCCCAGTGGCTTGTGCCTGTAGTCACACCTACTTGGGAGTCCCAGGCAGGAGGATCAAGACACAGTAAAACTCTGTCTTCAAAACAAAAAACTATTGAGGGCCTCAAAGAGCTTTTGTTTGTGTGGGTTGTGTCTATTTTTTTTTTTTTTACTGTATTACAAATTAGAAATTAAACACAAGAAAACACAAGCACATAGTCCGTTAGCCTTCAGCTAGATGGGTGAGAAACAATAGTAAGAAAAAT